CTCACCTCAGGTAAGCTCTCAGGCACTTGGTTCATTCATCCCACGAGGGTCCGTGAGCATCTCGTATGTGGCAAGCCTGCCACAGGCCTGGGTATAGAGCAGTGAACAAAATAAGGGCCTTGCCCTCACCACATTTGGGAAGACGGTGGGGGAAGCAGGCTGTCTGGCAGGGCTCCCTGGAACAGACTGAGAGGGAGGGTGTGGCAGGGGTATTGGGGAGCACTCTCCAGATGCCTGTAAGCACGTGAGGAGGTTAATAAGCTGCACTTGACCAGGAGGTTTCGAGGAGAAGCCCCGTGGAAAGGCGGCTTTCACTGTAGGCTGCCACTGGGAGCTTGGAGCTGAATGGTCCTTCAGTTTCCCAAATTGAGGCAAAGTGGTGGGGCCTTGAGGTCCCTCATCAGCCACGGACCACCTGGGAGAAGGTGAAACGCCTGGTTGGATGAGGCATTTCCATGGGCCCAGGGCGATGCCCAGGAAGGGACAGTGGTGGGCCATCTGCATCTGGTGAGGGGGAGGTAACAGGTCAGGGAGGCCTCTGAGCCGACCCTGAACGAAGTGTGGGAGGAGCTGAGGTGGTGGTGGCTGGAATGGGGAGGGGATTGGTGTGTTTGCAGGACAGTGCGAGGCTGCCTCAGCAGAGCCCATCCCTCACGCCCTGGCCTACAGCCTCCAGCCCTCCCTTCGCTGCAAAGGAAGGAATTCAAGTCATAGTTCCTAGGAATCTGTGGGGACTGCTCAGAGGTGGTACAAACAGCCAGAAAGCTGGGGAGACTTAGAGGTCAGAGCGAGTTGGCTCTAACCCCAGCTCTGCCCCTGAGAAGGGTCTTACCTTCCCCTCTGTCCCTGGGGCCTCAAGGACCAACACCCCCCACCCACCCACTCCTCTGCCAGCGGCTTACTCTTGGTTCAGCCTCTCATTCTTTGTCATCCTGTAGCTGAAACTCAGGCTCCCTGTTTTGCCTTCTGGGGCCCTACACCTCGTGTGCTTCAGCCAGGAGACTCACCTGCAGGGACCTGAGGCTAGAAATTAAATGCTTCAAAGCCAAAAGCTCAGTGTGTGCCTCCCACTCAACTTCTACCCACTTCTCAACCCACTACCTGCTTCAGGCCATATCACAGAGCGGGCACAGGGACCCAAATCCTCGGCAGGGCTGACGGCAGGGTGGAGGCGGCCAGCCCCTCCTGTTATGGACCCTGCTTTGGTTATCACCTGCAATCCTCAGACTAGACCATGCCAGACACCCTGGTCCCTCCTCCCACACCCAAAGCTGGCATCCTGGGTGTGGGCTTGCTGCCCAGGGCAAGAGTCCAGCCTGTCAAGAGCATCAGTGGCCTCTCCCTGCTTCCTGTCACCTCCCGTGCGCGCACACACACCATGGGTCTCCTCATACCCAGCTGGGGCCCTGATAGAACTCAAGGTCAGGACCAGGGGTTTCCCACTACAGACCCCTTCTAGGGGCAGTCCAACAATTCAGCCCATTTTATGAGCACCTACTGTGTGCCAGACCTTGTGGGAGTCATAGATTCAGGCTGATAGAGACATGGTCCCAGCCCTTAGGGAGCACCCAGCTGGCTGACGGACACTCATAGAACAGCCATCGGCCACCTCTTTCCCCACACCTGAGCAGGCCGACTGCTCCGTGAACACTCACTGAGCATGTGCTGGCTGATCTGGCGAAGGGAACACGTTTCCTGACTTCGAGGAACTCCCAGCCCGATGGAGCATTGAGCCAATACAGCCAAGGGGCCATGGGGGCCCAGAGAACGCCTCTAACTCAGCCAGAAGAATTCCTGAAAGAGGGGCCACTTGAGCTGGATTCTGAAGGGCAAGCAGGAGAGGCATGCCAAGAGAAAACAGCAAGGAAACCGGCCCCTCGCGGGAAACAATCACTGAGCTGTCCTCCATGGCTGGGGTCTGAAGTGCTGAGGGCGAGAGAGCAGGAGGGTGGTCAGGCGGTCCGAGCGAAGGGCACGGGGCTGCGTCCTGGCCTCAGCAGCACTTGGCTCTGCTCTGCCGTCTCCTTCCCTGGCCTCCGGGCACCTTGCTCTCTCACTCGCTTCTCTGCCTCCTGTGCTGGTGTTTCCCAGCTCTCACTGCTGGGAGTCCTTGGGCCCTTGTCCACTCGCTCTCCAGATGATCCCAGGCTCGTGGCTGTGAAGACTTCCCAAATGCCAACAACTCCCGAAGCGTCTCCAGCCAGACTGCCTACTTGACGTCGTCACCTGGACGCCTTTCGCACAGCATCTCAAATTGAACTTGTCAACACGGAGCGTCACCTCACCCTGTAGCCTGCCCCACCTCGTGGGGGCAGCTCCGTCCTTCCATGTGTGTGTGGGGTGTTTTTTTAAGATTTTAAAAAATTGATTTTTTGTTAGAGAGAGGGAGAGAAACATCAATGCGGGAAGGCTGCACACCCGCACTGGGGATGGAGCCCTCAACCCCTTTGGTGCAGGGGTGACGCCCAACCAGCGGAGCCACACTGGCCAGGCCTTCCCTGTTTTACTCATGACCATGTTCCTAGTGCCAGGACAGTCCCTGGCACGTAGGTGCTCAGTGAAGACGAGTGAATGGAGTGTAAGGCTGCTCAGAAGTGAGTTAGATCTTTGAGGCCTGTCAAGGGCTGAGATGGGGGGGCAGGATACCAAGGAAGTGGCTGAATGTCCAGGTAGCAGATGCCAAGGACTGGGCCTCCATAGGCATGTGGGAGCAGAGATTTCTGCACCAGGGCTGGACCCCTAACTTCCAGCACCCTCCCCTTGGTCTGGCCTGTTATATCCAGTACCCCTAGTGACAATGCCCAGCCAGCCCAGGGCAGAGCAGAGGCAGGGCACGTCCAACGATCACCCTGTCTTCTCCGCCCAGCCCAGGGAGACCCAGCTCCATTCAATTCAGGGCAGAACCCTCCCAGAACCAGGCTGTGCTCCGGGTTCAGCCCGGAGCCTGTGGAACTGCAGGGGCAGCAGAACCAGGGGCGGGGCTCCTCAGGGTCACCTGGGCTTCAGGCTGAACGGCACCAGCCAGCTGAGCCCAGCCCGGAGTCCTGCTCTGGCCCTGCACCTTGGCGGCTACCCACCCGGCCCTCTTGCTGGTATCAGCTGGGTTGCCTCCAGGTTCTCCTTTTCGGGCTCCAGGGAGGGGTGCCCAGCCAGGAGGGTGTCTCTAGCCAGGCCAGCTTTTTCTGACTCGGGCCCAGCCCTCACTCTGGAACCCCAGGGTGGCTGTCCCCTAGAAGTGGGACTTTTGTGGACAGTGATGATGCTGGCAGGATGAGCTTGGGCCTTTGACCTGATTCCTACACGTGTCAGGGATGGGCCGCAGGAAG